TGACGGTGGTAAAGAGTTGTTTGGAATTACCTGGGTTATTGTTAATGATGTTGGAGTAGTGTGCTGACCTGGCCTTGGAGAGTTCTTTGGCATATCTCCGTCGATGTTCCCGATAGGCCAACTTATGCACCGTCAGCCCAGATGTGACATAGGCCCGCTCAAGGACTCGGCCGGTCCTCTTCAGCAGTCTCAGCTCCTCTGTGAACCAGGGGGCGGAACGGGTGAAGGTGACTGTCCTGGTTTTTAGTGGAGCATGAAAGTCAAGGATAGAGTGAAGATTATGGTTGTAGTAGTCCATGAGGTCAGTAAGTGATGTGTTTGAAGGAGGAGAAAGGAGCTGGAGATGCTGATTGAGGGAGGTGGAGTCAATGTTCTTGAAATTTCTAAAGGATATAAGGCGTTGTGGTTTGGTGAGGGGGGAGGGGTGAGGGGTCCTGAAGGTGACTGCATAATGGTCTGAAATGCCGATGTCCTGGACGTGAAGGTCTGAGATGTGGATGGAATCTGTGATGACCAGGTCCAGTGTGTGGCCCTTAGTGTGGGTGGGTCCAACAACAGATTGGTGGAGGTTGAGGCAGTCCAGAACCTGTTTAAATTCAACAGCCAGTTGGCAGGAGAGTGAGTCCATGTGAATGTTGAAGTCCCCCAAAACCAGAATGTTTGAGTGTGAGGTGCAAAGTGAGATGAGAAAGTCATGAATTTCAGAGAGGAATGATGGATGTGGTTTGGGGGGGCGATAAATGAGAGCTATGGTTGCAGAGGTGATGTGATGTGATGTGATGTGTTTGCAATTAAAAACCAGATGTTCAAAAGTGTTGACGGGTGGGACAGACAGTAGAGAGGTTTGAATGGTGCTGCGGTGAAAAACAGCAAGGCCACCCCCCCGACCGGTAGTCCGGGCCTTACTGAGGTAGCTATACCCAGGGGGACAGGCCTCATTGAGGACAGAGTAGACCTCAGGCTGTTGCCAGGTCTCTGTAAGACAGAGAATGTCAATTCCCTTGTCTGTGATGTGGTCATTGATAAGTCCAGCTTTGTTTGTCAGTGACTGAACATTTAGTAATTCCAGTGTGGAATGGCCTGCGGAGTCCAGTCCATTAAGGGGGCGCAGGACGCTGTGATCCACTCCGGGTTTTCTGTCCATCCGGCCATAGGCGCTCCTGTCTTTTGCGACTGGAGTAGCGGTGTTCTGATGACGCCATTGTTGTGCGACGGTGCGACCAGCCGACCAGAGGGATGTGATGAATCGGTGAGGGTTACCATGATCACCGTGTTTGGACAAAACAAACCGGCGACCAGATCCTCTGTGGATGTAGCGGGGTCGGTGAGGTAGTTGGAGTTGATCAGAAGGAGTGCTGATGTGATGGGAGCTCCAAAGCGGCACAGAGATGACGGTGGAGTAGCCTGGAGTGTCGGTGTTAGCCATTAGCCACGATCCCGGCGAGCGACGATGGATGGCAGCCGCACAGCCCAGGATGGTCCAGAGCCTCCACAGAGATGGCAGCCCACTTGCAGACATCCGTTCGAGGGCAGATGACATGCAGAAGCCGGGGAGATTGGCGAAACGGAGAGAGGTCGATATAACAGCTAGCACCAAGGTCAGTCTAGCAGCTAGCACCGTAAACTGGCCTTTTTCCCGAACGCTCCTCTGGTCTCCTGCTCGTGAGGGATTCATTATAATATCGTAACATGGTTTAGATTTCTAAATAAATATTCACCTCCTCGCTAGATAGACCTACTCCTGAAAAACTTGTGTCTGCGCAAGGCTTTTTGTCCCTACGAGGCCACCATCATTTACCCGACGGGAGGGGTGAGCGAGTGAGCCCTGCAATCTAGAATTTGACCACTGATGTCACTGTTTTCAATGGTTTTCAACCCATTTTACACACTGGCCCTTTAAAATCTGACATCTGACACTGAGCAAACTTCACATGCTAGGGAAGATTGTTTGTAATAATTCCACCATATTTCACAAAACACAGAGGTCATGTGATGATACAAGTCCCATATGAACTGACATCTCAGTGTAATGTTTTTTTTTTCTCCACACCTTGTTCTGCCTTTTTCCTGATTGAGAATTACGGAGGCTGCATTGGCAATTATAGATTAAAGTTTTGACAGCATGTTGGGTGCAAAGTCGGAAGGCTTATCTCAATACGCAGAATGGATTGATCATGAAACCAAGCCTTGACATCATATTCAGGGAACAGTGGTGCACGGGTTGACCAACAACCCGCAAGTCACTAGAAAATATCAGGTGGGCAGGTCAAAAAAATTACAAGGCAGCGTTCAGTTACTAATAACTCACAGGAACATGGTGTGCAATAGTCCACCTTCCACCTTCTCTTCCCTCCTCTCTCTCAAACATATGTTGTGGCTCTCAGTCCTCGTCCCAGTCCTCAGTTCTGACAACAGTGTGACTACAGTGCAGTTAGCAGGTTGTGGATAGGGTTCAGGTGGTTGATTAACGCATATTTTTTGCAGTTTGGGTGCTGCGGACTGGCTCTCATGACAGGTCAGGTGGGTGCAGGTATTAAAAAAAGCCTGACCTGCACATTGCTACCGGGGAATAGTGTCAGTAAATCTGAGTACAATACAGATGTTACTTGCAAAAGCAGTGCATGAAACACAGATGTGTGTGGGGGTAATGTCTAAATAACGAGGTCCCCTGGTAACACTAGTCTGGTGTGAATATGTCTTTAGTGTCCAGTGAGACTAAATTAAATGACACAATCCAACTCCGCTCATGTGGGTTCACCCAATCCATTGTTTCTGCAGGATACAGTATGTGTGTGCACACATATATGAAAGTGAATGAAAGGGACGATGAATGAGCCTGAGCGAATGAGGAAGCTAGGGAGCGAGAGAAGGAGAGAGAGAGGCAGCAGCTGTCTGCCTGGATGACCTCAGCGGCAGCTGCTGCCCCCCCGCCCCCAACACCCCGCTGCCCTCTGTATGCCAGCTTGCCTTTGAAGTTCAGGTCAAGACCGATACAGCTTTGGATCACATACCGATAATGATTACTGCAGAATAAAAGAGCTACTATTTACTGTCAATATGCCAGTTTATTGTGCCAACAAGAGGGGCTGGGCAATATATTGTTATTATATTGATATGAGACCAGATATCGTCTTAGATTTTGGATATTTTAATACTGTAAGTGCTGTTTTTTTACTAGTTTTAAAGACTGCATTACAGTAAAGTGATGTAATTTTCTAAATTTATTCGGCAGTTCAAGCTGGTTTGCTTTTACCCATTTGGTCATCATATTCACATTACTGATGACTATTTATCAAAAATCTTGTGTAAATATAATGTGAAAGTACCATCAGTTGACCCCACAATATTGTCATTGTATCAGTTGAGGTATTTGGTAAAAACATTGTGATGTTTGATTTCCTCCATATCACCTGGCTTTTTCATCGAGGATAAAAATCTATTCGTGCAACTACAACTGGAATGCAAACTTGACAGAAACAGAAAAGTACCTTCAGGGAAAGTGACAATACTGCTGCATCTATAAGAAGAAAACTAATCTAGACTCTCTTTTAAGAATGTACGTTTGTTAATCGGTCTATTGTCCCAAACCATTAACTATCAAACAGTTTTATGAACATAAGGTGCAAGAAAGTTTTCTGCCAGCAGGACTTCACTAAAGATTCCCACTTTGGGTACGAAAAACTTAATCGCACTCATTAAAATACAGAAAATATCGGCTGGTAATATCAGTATCATTTTACTTGAGCTGTCTTTGAAGTGCCGACAGTGGGCAGAGGGAGATGCTTTAGTCAGACTCTCTGGATCGCTGGAACCTGACACACACACACACACACACACACACACACACACACACACACTGGCATGTAGACAAGCACATGGTATGGGGGGCACACACACACACACAGGGATGTAGAAACAGTGCAGCACATAGACAAACACTGACATGCATTTGTGAATGTGCACTGGCACACTGTTTTCCCTCCAGGTATTTTGTTTACATGAATGGGGGGGGGGCAGTTATCTGAGTCCCGGTATAGAAAGACACCCACCTGTATTTAGGCAGGAAGGTTTTCAGAATCCACACGGTCACAGACTACAGTCACCACATGACAACTCACAGTCTGTACAACTGAGACAAACACATAAAAATATACACATCCAGACATGCTGACACCCGGCTCAGCTTTCTGGATGTAAAATTGGAAAATGATTATGTTGAGAAAAAAAAGAAAAATCGAGGGAGAACAAGGCACAACAATGTGTCTTTTCGTCTCTTCATCAAAATTGAGACACACACACACACACACACACACAGACTTGACATTTCATACTACACTGACGCAAGTCCTACACACACACAAAAGCATCTTCTTAAACAAATGCCTCGTTCATAACCATACAGGAACACACAAACACAACAACTGTTGTCACACACACACACACACACACACAAACACAAACTCAGACAAAAGCAGTGCTTCATTGTCTGGGGAACTACACAGACTTGATTACTGTATAATGGCCCCACCAACCTATCCTGGCTAATTATATCCTGGATACTCACGCAACAGACAGAAAAAGGAACAAAACAAAGACTGAAAAATCACGTGTGATGAAGAAGAGAAGATGTGAGTACGGTAGACCAAAAGCAAACTTAAATTAATGGGAAGAAACAAGACAGGATTAAAGAAATAAAAGAGCAAGATCTTGTGCTTTGCTCATGGATGGCTGGTTTTTATCAGTCTGTCATCATGTGAACATACACGCAAACACTCGCCCAAAAAAATACACACCCCCACACTGCTTCAGCAAGACTTCTCCTGTACAATCACGTCGTCTTCCAAATCGTTTTATGTGTAACTGCTGACAGTGGTAGATTTATGCCAAGTTTGTCTGAAAAATGCTGTATAGCACATAACTCTGGGTTGTTGTTTAATAGTACTTAAGTAATATATCAAGTCTGTAGACGTGTGTTTCAGTACTGGTGTCTCATGTCATAGTTAAATTGTTTTTACAGACTTACCGATAACGATGAGTGTGTAGTTGATGTTCACGCTGCCAAACCCGTTGGTAGCCTTGCAGATGTAAGTCCCTGCGTCGTCAGTCTCCACCTCTTTGATGCGCAGAGCGTGCTGTAACACCCTGAACCGTGTCCAGCCACTGTGGATGTTGCGGCCGTCTTTGGTCCACATGATGAGCGGCGGCGGGTCGCCCTCCACGGGGCAGGGCAGCTTCATGGTGCGACCCAGGCGGATGCTCTGCCGGTGGGCCACACGCTCTGACACCCTGGGTGGACCTTAAAGGATGGAAGGGGAAAAGGGGAGTTATTAAGATTATGAAGTTAATTTAACAAAGTCATATTTTCAGATATATATACACATTTTTTTTTTTTTCATGACCGCTCCACCAAGGAACTCCCTCTTCAGACTAGTAACACAAAGTTTAAGAAATCAGATTACAGAAAGTGTAAACAACCAGGTGACCTGAGTGCATTTTTGTTAGCAGCGGAAGCAAAGTCCAGCTGTTTGGACTGGAAATCACTGGGTCATAGTTACTGTAGTCTAATTAGTCTTTTCACTATTTAACTGCACACAGATCTCATCCTAAATAGGTCTTCTGACACACTTTGGCAGAGATACAAGGTCTCTATTAAGGAATATGATCCACTGATAACAGCCTGTAGCCTGTAAATTTCCAGAGCCCCAAGTGACCTCTTTAAATATTTTGTGTTGTGTGACCAGCTGTCTAAAACCCAACAAGACTCGGTCAAAATGTAGTATATGGCTGGACCGTGTATGAAACCTCAGAGAGCTTTTAATTTGAACAGGAAGTGGTGGCATTCATTCAGTCATGGACTCTGTCCTGTTGTTGTGGTCCAGCCCAAAATTCATGTAAATACATATCATTTAACACAACCCTCCCCTCTTCAGCTCCAATTGGAGAAGTACGTCCCCGTGTGACAGGTGGAGGCCTGGCAATGGTCAGCCACTATCAAAGCCAAGTTCCACCTTTAACGACAACTTGTAAAACATCCTATGGACACAGATAAATCCACAAAACTGATTGACTGGTCAACCTCTAATTACGAGCTGTTACTAAGGTGGTAGCACCCGTTCTGACATCTTATTTTCACTTCTCCTCATAACGGTGGCAGAACCCGTTCTGACATTGTAACACGTGAAGTTTAAGGCTTGTTTGCCATATAGAAATGTCTTTCTTCAAACAAATTGATGAGGTTAGCCTGTCTTTCTCTGTCTAAAACTGGTATTTTGACTGCAGTTAGCTAGTTCATTCCACCATGCTATTATGCTAACGTTACACAGGCTATAAAAAATAAGACCAAGATGTCACTTATCTGACGACAGCAATGTGCTTTCATTTTCTGTGTCAAGAGTATGTGGCAAAAGCTAGCAGCTTGCTATTAAGTAGTTAGCTCGCTAATTCCACTGTGCCATCATGCTACAGTGGTTACAGAAAATTAGGATTAGGCTACAGTTATACAGGAGTGTCAGCGCCCACTGCTCTGTCATCTCGAATGAGCAACAACCAATGGGGAAACGCCAACACTTCCATCACCACTCACTCAAGCCAGTTCATCCCTCACTTATTCAATTAATCACGGACAAAATTATGTGTTCATAAGGCTGGCGTCGCACGCTGCAGTCCAGCCAAATACAATCAGTTTACAATCATTTATGTCAAAGAAAGGAGGAAATCTACAATCTGGAGAAGCTGCAGCTAGAAATGTTTGGAGTTTTTCACAATTTGTGCTTGAAAAATGACTGCCATGATTGATTAAATATCAGAATAGTTAAGATGTTCTATTATTATTGACACTGCTTTGAGGGATACCCTGGATGTGCCCATTACCAGATTAATGCACTGTGCAAAGAGTGGTTTCACCAAGTATGTGTGGCTGCATCCACAGAGTAAGGGGCAGGTGAGGCATGGAGACATTTTGAGTGAAGTAGGTGTGTCGACAGCTTCAGCATCAAGGTTAAGATGACCTCTCGAAATGTGTTTTCATTATCTTCATGTTTGCAGCGCCACACCTCTCATTTTCACCACCATTCTCAGAACTATAGACGCCTCAAGATATGCCATTTAACACACACAGGAATTATCCTCTGACCTTTAAGAAGTTCATTATGGCTTAGCTTAAACACTGACATTTTACCACAGACAACAATAGAGACCCCAGGGAGCACACACAAAGCTAAGCTAATATGGACTGAGATGTCATGTCGAGACATAAAATCAGGCGTGACCTTGACCACTCAGTAGCTGCTCTACTGTGAAACTGCACACTAGATAAACAGAGGGAGGTGAAGGAGCAGGCTGACTGACTGGGGAAGGTGGGAGGAAACTGTGTGGAGAAGTGGGGGTGATGGAGAGAACAAATAGGGGGGAGGATGAGGAAAAAGAGAGGAAGGAAGGTGTTAGGGAAGAAAGAAAAGGGAATGAGGGAGGATGGAATTTAAGGGAGTAAGTCTGAGGAGAGACAGGGAATGAAATATGGCCGAATAGGAGAGCAGTACAAACAAAGGCAAACAGGAGGATAGAAATATGGAAGCATACTGTACATGTCTTCTCATTACTCCTTTTGGCTTAAAACAATACGCTCCAAATATAGCAGTGAAACACATAATAGGTCACCATGTAGCGGACAAAGTGTCCTAACTAACTACAAAAGGCAATTGTATGGAAAAACCATAAGAAAACAACCCACTGCAGGTCGTGTCCTGTAGTTAAAGAAAGATTTAAAGGAAGGACAAAGGGTGGCCTGATTTTAACAACGTGCCTTATCTAGAAGAATACATTTAGTCTGATAAAGAAACATATCACCTCGAATATAAACATTTAAGGTGTGTTTAATTTATGGCCCCCTTGTCTGATTCTTTCTTATCACAAGGGAATTAACACAGCCTGATACCTTTAATTTGCCCTTGTCAAATAGGGATTTAATACACATGTTTTTAGTCAGCTTTTTTTGATTTGTGCAGAAGTAAGGGAACAGGAAGTTGGGATGTGGTCACAGGGGAATTATACGAGGTCCCACAAGTGGACTAGAAGAAAGTTAGAAGTGGATGGAAGGTAAAAACAGTTGACAGGAGGAGATGGGGTTTGAGCTATCAACTCTGCCGTTACTGAGCGACCTACTCTACCCCCTGAACAACTTTCAGCTTTTTCCCATGTGCTGGCTTGGCTTGGTTTGGTTTGACTTGGTAAGTTTGATTTGCTTCTCCACTACAACTGTTGCTTGAAGGAGTGTCTTTAACTGATGACGGCCTGTCTGGAGTGATGACGTTTTAATGTAGCAGGCGGCTCCACAACTCCCTATTATGATTTTGCTGCAAGGTTTTTTTTCCCATCACACATCAGGGCAGATCAGAGAAGTTTACCTGTTGGAGGTGAGCTGTTTGCAGAAGTGTAGTAACCTCCAATTTCCACATACTCCATCTGCGCCACAGCAACGCGCACTGCGCAGCATACACGCTCCCATTCCGCTTCGTCTGAGAAACGCGCCAGGTCTATTTTTCAGTGATTGCGCGTCCATAGCATGTCAAGCCATGTAGCTCAGATCGCACCAAACTGGAAATGGAACGCACACAGCATCTGGAAAATTTCAAAATACAACACAATGCACGGACTACGGATTGTAAACTCTTTTTTAAAAATCACGTCACATCCTGTCGCACAAGTTGTCAGTCAGTGCGAGGGTCCGAGGAAAGCTGAACGAGGAGAAACTCATAGTTGAAGTGGAAAACCATAGTATTTTGTATGACACCACACATCCTTTCAACAAGGATACAAGCCGAAAGGAGAAGACGTGGTGTGAAATTGCAGCAGTTTTGGGAGTGAATGGTACTTTTTATCGCGTGATTTTGTAGTTCCCACATGTGATCTTGCGGCTTCGCTATGCAGCATGGTGCCCCAGAAATGCATCCAGTAGGTGAGGGTACGCGCCGTCGGTTGCTCCAGATCCACGGCGCAGACAGAGTATGTGGAAATTGGGGGTAAGAGCCTGTTGTCTGCAACACTTCTTCAACATCTCACTGTGGCTGCTCCTGCTTTTACTCTTCCTCCCTGTGGTATGAGTAGACTTGTTTTTATTAAAGAAAAGCTGCTGACCAAGTTTCTCTACTTTGGTGCTAATTTCCTACAGATTTATACAATAAAAGTCCCCCATTATTTTGTTATGTACAAGCTTTTATTGTGAAGCTGCATTGTAAAGAAATGTTGAGTTTTCATCAGCAGTACATTAACAGACTCCTGTACCGCTAAAAGCAAACATGAAACAGTATATCAAAGCAGATATCTAAACTAAGTGACACTATGAGGCCCTCCATGAGCAACGGCCCACTTGTTGAGAATCACTGTTCCACTGGTTATAATGTTTTACTCATTAAAGTAAGTTCTGGAAACACGGTTGCATCACTAGATTCAAGTGGTACGATGAAGTAAACAAGCCATAAGTTTGTCTACCTTATTTAAAACACCTAATTTGAAGGTAAAACCAAAAGTGAGTGCCCCCAAAATGTCAGAAATGATTAACTGCACAGAAAAACTACCAAAGCAATAACAGTTGGTCTATAAATGTGACGGATGTATAATTTTACTTATCACATAATTTATGGATTTAATTTTAATTTTGTATTTGTTTTTTCTTCTCACATAAGTTTGGCTTCTTTTAAAAGTTTGTTTAAAACCTGTCTGATGGTGTTTTTAGCCCTGTCAGAGTTCATCTTAATGATGCTGCCACATTTACGTATCTGTGGGGTTTAAATGTTATAATTAGTTATCTGGAGAAAGCCTGGGAGAAAAGAAAGAGGGCTCTTTATGGAGATAATCAGAAAAGCTTGTTTTCATGTTTTGTTTTGTACATGCGAGACCAGAGGATGGTTGTCCAGTAAGTGTCTTGTAATCCCATGTGGGATGAGCCTAAAAAGGCAAGACACTGAACTAAAAATAAATGAATGAATGAATTACTGATGTTTTTCTTTGACATTTGCAATTTTAAGTACAACTGAAAGACTTTCCCATGAAAAATCTTTAGTTGCAGACAATTAGCTGCATTCATCTATATTCATACATTGTTTTGCATTTCTTTATGAAGAGTTTAGCATGAGCAACAGCAGCCATCATGGCTTCACATCCTTCCTACAGGGTCCCAGACTTCAGAACATTCAAAGAAAAAGACGTCACATCATTGACCAGCAGTGGCCAGCTGTCAACTGTCACCTAAACCAAACAAAACAAGGATCTTGATTTATTCCTCCGATGAGCAGCTGTAGA